TTTTTTTTTTTTTTAAAGATAAATGTATTCCCCCAGGCTTTCAGGAAAATTTCACAGTAGGAGAAAAATCACAGCAATGTTACACTAACTGCCTATGCTGGTGTGAAAGTAATCTTTATAAAACAGGGTCAAATAGCCACATCCAGTTGGGAGATTTCCAACTGCTGCTTCTGCTGAGTGGGAAATTATACATTGAAATGGGGTGAAGACCTGCTGGGTGCAGTAGGGGAAAGCATTAATTGGTACAAGGCTGAGCACCCTCTACTTTTGTTGAAATCCTTGGGTAGAAATCACATTTAGTACTGTGCAAAATACAGCCTGTAGTTAGGATTAGTCCAAGAAGAAGATATTGCAATGTGATGTCCTCTTTTTTTTTTTCTTGATCCCTGCAGCAGAAACAGGCAAGGTTGAAGGGGAGTTATAGCCAGGAGAATGATACAAGGATCATCAATGCAGCTGTATTTGGCCTGGGACCAGCTTTTTAATCTTTTCTGACTGCTGAGAACTTTGATGTGCTTCCTGCAGGAGCCTATCCAAGCATATCTGAACTGCTCTTCTTAAAGTGCCTATTAAAGATTTACATGTTTAAATTGGAAGCTTTCCTCCACTTTCAAGTTTCGTCATGGGGTTGACTCCCAATTCCCCAAGGCACTTACATCAAAAAAGATTGTATATCAGCTATGCATGTATATGGATGCCTTTAGATTCATGTGCAAGAGATGAAGATTGGCTTTAGATAACTTTACATTGGGTGTTGTTAGAAAACAGATTTTCTATGAGAAAAAATGCCTTTATTTTTAGCTAACTTAAAATCATGCTGGAAATTACATTTTTCTGCCAAATGTTTAGAGGTAATCTGCAATTGATGTAAATTGTTACAGTTTGGGAGCCATGACAAGTTGCACCAAGTGGGGATCTTCCCCTTAAGATCAGATGGGAGGAAATGAAGTTAAAAGACAAGATTTAACTACCCTGATGGCCCTCATCTAACCATTTCAGCAGCATTATCTTCTAAACAGGATGATTGGGATCTCATACCTCCACAATTTGAGCCTGATTCCACAAGCCTCCCATGTACAGCATTCCAACTGGGAAGGTGTTGGATGTACAGGGATGGCAGGATCAAACACAGTGTGCCTCTTGAGAGAGACAAACCAAGGGGAGGCCAATGAATGTCAAAGAGCAACAAGGGACACTGAGGTCTCGGTCCTGCCAGCAGGCTGGATTTCTGCATATCTCAGTAAATCATCTATTGCAGTGCAACTGATTTTACAAGTTGTGCAGTGCTAACATACTGAGAACAGTCAAACTTTCAGGGAGATGTTCTGTGGATGAAGCTTTAACACAGTCATAAATTGTGATGTCCTAACTCTTTCAGGAAGGTTCAGAGGGAGGAAAGATGCAACTTTGTGGAACTTCTACCCTGAAAAAAAAAGATCTTAAAGTCCTTAAACTACTCAAGAAAGTGGATGGGGATAGGATTAAGAAAGTGGGTGGGGGATAGGAGGGACTGGGAAAACAGCATACAAGTCCACTCTTTTTTAACAGCTCATTGTTAATAAGTGGTTATTGTTTTGCTTTACTATCACATATACCATTTGGGGAAGCCAAATTAATTAAAAAACATTTGTTTATATTTGCATTGTGCTCTCTGTGAATTCAGTCACTAAGTGGTAACAACCCAGTTTTACCAAGCAAATCCCAGGTTCTCTTACGTTGTGTTGGTATCTTAGGAACTTCTATGGAGAGGCCAGAGGTGCCTTATTTTTTCATTTTAAAAAGTTAAAAAAAACCTTGTTTTTATTTTTAATGATTAAAAACAAAAATCAAGATGTATTGTTTGGAAAACAGAATTTATTCTGCATTTACCACAGTTCAAACAAACCAGCTGAAAGAGTGCTTGGCAGGACAAACAGTGGTTGGAGGAAAAATTTAAACAAATAGAGGCATAATCAAAGTTGTTCTTTTGCTATGAAGTGAATACTAACCACGTATATTCAGATTGCTACATTGGTCACAACCTTGGGATAACTTTTGGATAACTCAAATACAGATGTCCCATGAGCCATTTCAGAAACAAATGCTCAAAAGTATTAGGGGCCACGCTATTCAAATGTAAGGGAGTTTGGATTCCATTGCGATTTAGCTCTTGTCTCACTTATGTAGGAGGAACTGGGCTGGGACCATCAGCCTTTTAACAGCAAGCTCAAAGCAGGCAAATAGTGGTCACTGTCCTTATCCAACTGGACTGGACTGAAACCAACAACTGAATGCACTATATCCCATTAATGGGTAGAGATGACTAGAAAAATTTTCTTCATACATTATTTCAAATATGAACATAATACATAATTCAAGGGAAATTGTTCCCATTTCAACCAGCTGTATTAGCTACTGCTGCTAACTCTAGTCACATTCATGTTCTCAAAATAGCTTTAAAAATATATCCATGAATTCAAAAGAACAGCCATATATGATTGCTTATTTCACTTGCAGCAAAATTAGTTAATACTTTTACTGTCATTTCATGTGCCCTGACTTCTTCTAGCTAGAATTATGTTTACATCCTTTAAATAAACCTGTCTGAATTTCTCTCTCTCTTTCATATATTGTCAGTTAATTAAGTCAATACAAAAAGGTTAACAGTCCTTGGTCCATGTCTCTTTCTAGGCCCACCCTACCCATAAATACTCTTTAAATGAAAGGAACCATTCTACCTTAAAAAACAAAACAACACAAAAACAAATAGATTGATGTGTCAGATTATGGTGTAAGAATATTTCTGGGTTAAATGTATTTATGTTGTAATACTGTTGCTTGCCTCAGTTTCCCTGACTAGCTTGTGCATGGGCAAAGAAGGGGTTAATAAGCCCCAAACTAAAACTTAGAACTGCCCAGTTGCCAGAGGAGACAAGATGCACATCCATCAATAAGGAACTGAACGGTCTTCTTGACACTTCAACAAGGTGAGTTTGGTAAACTACCTTTGGAGATAACAGTTAGAAAGCATCAAGGGAAGCAGAGGGAAATGAGCTTCACACAATGGATGGAAAGGCTTGAATAGGAGTATGTCAGCCTGAGAGCTGCAAAGCCGGGGGGTGGAGGGTGCTTCAGCTGTGCAGACAAGAGAAGAACAGCTGAGCTAACTTTGGGAGTGTTCAGGGCTGTGCAGGTTGGACAGGAGATAGAAGGACTGCTTAATTTTTTGGAGTTGGGGCAAGGTCTTTTTCCTGAGTGGCCTTTGCCCCAGTAAATGCCTTTGCTAAGAGAGAGATACAGGTTGTAGCCATGTTGGTCTAAGGTAGGGTGGCCATCATAGAGGACAGTCCAGTTGTCCTCCATTGATACAAAACTCAACACCTTTATGTCCTCTATTTTTCTCTTCAAGAGAAGTGCACTTCAAGAGAAAAATAGAGGACATAAAGGCATCGGGTTTTGTATCAATAGAGGACTCAGGACAACTGGACTGTCCTCTATGATGGCCACCCTACCTTGGACTAATATGTTTCCAACCTATTCTTCTTCAAGAGAAAAACAGAGGACATAAAGGTGTCTGCTTTCGTATCAATAGAGGACAGAGTAGCATGTCCTCTGATGGCCACCCGAGTCTAAGGACATAGGCAAACAAGGTTTTTTGGGTAAATCTGATATATTTTATTAGACTAACTCAGGTAGTTGGAAAAATTCTTCTTAGCAAGCTTCCAAGTATAAATACTCTTCGTCAGGCTGAGGAAGTATCTGCTTCACTGCTTGTTATTCAAGGTGCACGTCTTTCTTTGAAGAAGTGAAATCCCTGTCACAGAAGCTGAACTGGAAGGTAGGCCCACAGATAACCAAGGAGGGTCAGGCAGTGAACAGCCAGGGTCTCAAGAGTTGAAAGGAGTTAAAGCTCCCACCTCTAGAAGCCAAACCAGCATGGCTGCAGGAAGAACAGAGACCAGGCAAGGCCTGGGGGCCTGAGCAAGCACTCCCCTGTGGGAATCCATGATAGCTACTGGTTGTGGTTCTAAGAAAAGACAGAAGTAAAGGGTAATATCAGAGGTACAGATCATTCAATAGAAAGGCCTGTGGATCTGGTCTGTGGGTAGGTGATTAGCTACCAGAGATGATTGTAGCAGGGTGCAGGGCCCAGGGCAAATCAGCCTGTGCGGGGCCTGGACACAGCGGGGGGGGGGGGGGGCCGGGGGACACTGGGGGGGGGGGGGGGCCGGGGGACACTGGGGGGGGGGGGGGGCCGGGGGACACTGGGGGGGGGGGGGGGCCGGGGGACACTGGGGGGGGGGGGGGGCCGGGGGACACTGGGGGGGGGGGGGGGAGACAAGAAGGTGGTGAGCAGCCAGATACGAAGCTGGCCCAGCTCTGCGGAGCCCCCCCAAAGCATGGGGGCCTGGGGCAGTCGCCTGCATTTGCCCCTCCACCAGGGATGGCCCTGTTAGCTGCTAATCAAACTAAGCAAGCAAAGCAGCAGAGAAATCCATTCAACATGTATTTCACTTCAATACATAGAACATTTGCATTGGTTTGCTCACCCCAGTATAACAGGGATCTCTCTTACCCATTTAGAGACTAGGTATGGTTTCTTGCAACAATTTATAACAACTTTAGCTGCAAACTGGTTCATGACCTTGATGGTTTATGTTAACCTGAATGCATAAGCTGCTATAACATGCCTGTCTTCTCTTTCAAAATCTCACAGCTGGGAAGCAGCTGGTTTTTTCCCCCACAACTGAAAGCATTTTCCTATGTAAACTATATAAAGCAGACAAAATGAGAGGGAGAATAAAACAACCCCCACCAACTTTCACAGTAGTCTTTCAGCCTCTGGTAACAATCCTTGAATTAGGATTACCTTTAGTACTCCAATTACAGCTGGTGGGTAGCTCAGTCCAACCATATTTGATGTCCGTCTGTACATCCTACCAAGATAAAATGGTAAGTCAGTAGAGAATATACACAGTAAGACAAGGCTATAGGAGACATCATTTACTGCAGCCAAACAGACTGCAGTTCCTACTTTTGTCCTTCAAGGATCCTCCATATCCTTATTGGACACCTACACGTTATTTTTATTGTCCTCATTTTACTTCCTTACTCCAACAACAAACACTCTGATAGTGTTTTTCCCCTGGCAGAACAGACCAAGACTTCATTTGGCACCTTCACGAGGCAGAAGGACTGCTCTTCAGAAATGAGAGACTTTACTTTCCTCCATGGCAACTGACCACATTTCTGCTCAATCCAAGACAGCATTTCAAGATAGCTTCAGAGACGGTCTCATTGAATGGAAACATTTAATGCATGTATGATACAGTTGCTTCTGGTGAATGCTGCATTACTTATGTATCTGCAAAAAGTGTTTGTGATCTTTACCTGTTAACATGAATTCAGTCATCAATGAGCGTTAGGAAAAGCATCCCTGAAGCAACTTTAAAAATGTGAATTTTAAATTTAGAACATCAATGAACACATTTATAGGTAGCGTAATTATTCGTTGCTATCACTTCATCATTCCCTGCAGCTGCTCCTCCCCAGGTCACGATCCACTTCAGAGATCCAGAACAAAAGGGTAATTCCAGGGAATAGAGATTGGACAGCCTCTATTCCCTTTTACTGTTAACGGAAAGAGTAGCCCTACTAAAGAAATGTATGAAAGCAAATAGTTTTTAACTATGACAACTATCCCACATAGGATTTGCCACTTTTTTTTAATAAATGCAACATTTCAACAGGAAATAATACTTTAACACGTATTTTGTAAAACTGATTCCAATAGTTATAGAAAGTATTTAGAACAAAAATTGATCCATTCAAAAATTGTTATAATTAAAAACAACTTTGACTTTTTGTTTTTTCACAAATACATATTTTAACTGAGTCAGTAATTACCCATAAAGGTAAATAACAGAGGGTGGCTGAAGGAATAAATAATCTGATTACTTGCTGCAAGTTAGTCACGAACACTCCATGGCTCAAGTATGTTCAAAATAATCTAAATTAATTGCATACATTTTTTCAACAGATAATTTGATAGTTGGATACTAATATATAATAGTATCTTGTCAAAATGTTGAGAAAAGAAGCAATGTCTGACAAACCCCAACAGGCCTTGCAAAAATTGTGACTTCTATTAATAGGATACAATCTGGATTTTCAGGATCACCAACAGAAAACTGATTATAAATATGTAGAAGGAAGCTTTTGTGTTTCTATGTGGTCTTTCATATAATGTGCCAAAGCTGTCTGCAGTACCTTTACAGGGGCGGGCAATTATTTGGGGAGGGGGGCCGCTTACTGAGTTTTGGCAAGCCATCGAGGGCCACATGACAGGCAGCCAGGGACAGATAAATATTAATTTTCTAAAATTTTTAGGGGCCCCACGGGCCAGATAGAATGGCCTGGTGGGCTGCATCTGAATTTTGCGCAGCCCTGCTTTAAAAGGCACTCTTGATGAAATTCTTATAAACCATGTTGCTAACCTAGAGTGATGGCATGAATATCTATACTATCTAAAACACTTTTTTTCCTTTTTAAATTCTTTTACAGGAAAGGTTCAGCAAAAGAAACTCTAAAGTGCACCTGGAGTCCAATTCAGTATGACCATTAGTGAGTTCAACCTCATTTATTTACAGAATCAGTTTGTGCTTACACATACATTGAGTTCAGCTGGCAGGGTATTTCCAAGGGTGTGAATCCACTTTCTAGTTTGAAGAATCAGAATGTCAAGAAAGACAACTTCCTCAACAAAGAAAGGTGGGACATTGGCAGCTGGAAACAAATTTAGTTTTAGGAGGTTCAGAAGTTTGAAATTAATATTGATCCATCTCTAGAAGTGTGATTTTGTACAAACTGAGGCAATGGAGGAGACTTGGCAAAGAGATTCAATCTTTCAGTGGAGTCCTTTGAAAGTTCTTCAATTTTCAATCTGATCTTTGTCTGAATCTTCTTTGTGACTCATGTAATTCAGCAAATACTACGATATAGACTTTTTGTTTTATTTCTTTGTTTTGTTGTTTAAAATGAGCTAATTGTCTGCCCTTTGTAAGAACTAATGGACATTAGAAAGATACTGTGTTAAAACAGGAACTGTTTTGGTTGGTTTTGGTGAAACGCTTACTCTATCATAGGACTGTTTATGACATATATTATCTTTCCTCTTCTCGGCCACTTGCAAATGCATAGGTAAAAGGTGGGAAGGCCCAAATGAAACAATTACAATATAAGATTTGTATTATTGACAACGAGCACTTAGCACACAACAATTTAGTTTATTATTTATTATTTAGCCCCAATCTCCGTTCCTTGTTCAGTTCTCTGTAACCAAACAAGCTGAACCAACAAAAATTGTCTTCATTTGACATTAAAGGTTCAACCTCTGGCTTGGCCAGTCACTGAAAAAGAATGATTACATCTTCTTTTACCTTTCCACGAATATCCCAGCTTGCACTGCATGGACAATGCTCCTGAACCGGGGCTTTTCCTCAGACCTTTTAAGCATCATCCCCATCTGCCGTGTAAAGGTGGAGGCCAACCAGTCCCGGACCTCAGAGGGCACGGAGTCTGATTGGATATCGCTGAGCTCATCTTCTGTGTCCAATAAACGCCTATAAGAGGGTAGAAAAATGGATAAACAGAGTGTTCCTAAGAGAGATTTTAAACATAATTTTCAAGCATCTCAGACATGCTCTAATTAAAGCAGTTGTTAAAAATTCACTCTTTTTCTAAACTTAATGGAACACATTTTTGACAGTCTATAACAGATTATTTACTTTCTTGGACAGCCGCATGCCAGATTGCAAAGCTCACTACTAGGCTGATAAACAAGACAGTCAGCATGATGAAACAGAACTACATAACCCTCCCATGATTTCTCATCTTCAGCTTGTCAACATTCATGGACCCAAGCTTGCCACCATTCTAAGCTGATTGATGTTAATGTGAAACTTCCAAACAGGATCCAGACAATAATGTGCTTTTAAGTTTGGGTAATTTCACCCAAAACAATTCTTTAGAAGTAAGTTTAACATTTGCTAAATGGATTGGTGGGTCAGATTTGAAGACTGGACTATTTTATCTATGCATGCACCAATGGTAAACAGGAACATAAACCCCACAATACGTCCTCACCAGTTTGCCCTAATTCTGAACTTGAATGGCTACCTGAAGAAAATAGTTCATTTTCTTCGTCCCTTCCATTCTTGAACTCTCAACTGAGAATGACAACTGTGCCAACAATGTTAACTCTTAACCACCAAAAGTTCACGTGAACACCAGACAGCCTGAATAACCAGGGGTTATTTAGTCTGAAAAAGAAGAGACTAAAATGGGGTTTGATAACAGTCTTCAAATATATAAAGAGGAGTTATAAAATGGCACACAGTTCTCTGTGTCCATAGGGCACAGGACAAGAAGTAATGATTTTAAACTGCAAAAGGGTCATTTGGATTGGATATTAGGAAGAGCTTTCTAACTGTGAGAATAATTAAGCAGTGGAACAGAGAGTTTGTGGAATCTCCATTATTGCAAGCTTTTAAGAGCAGATCAGACAAACACTTGGCTGAAGAGGTCTAGAAAGGAATGAGCCTGCCTTGAGCAGGGCAACTAGATGACCTCAATTATTCTGTAATCCTCATATCAAAATATTTATCAAAGACAGACTACATGTGGTTTTACAAAGGGAAAAAGTGTCTATGAAGCTGTAGAACATCAGAAAAAAAGGATCTCATAGTCATGAAGGTTTTTTCATTATGAAGTACTATAATATAATACTTATGTTTTTAGTTATAATATGAATGTGTCCTTAAATTACATTCTTTCCCTAACAGAATATATTTTTAGTTAATTATCACTTCTGGGTTGTTTTTTCCAGGAAGCTCAAAAAAGCTTTCAGAGAATATACTGAAGAATAAAGATCTGTTTTACATATTCCCTATGAGTAATAACTAAAGATTAGCTTAAGTTAAATAACTTCCCTTGTAAACAATCAGCACTTAATTTAATGGCATGAATTATCAACACATGTGAAACCTACCTGGTTTCATCAATGTACACTGACTCAAGGACGGTAGCTGCATATTCCAAATTCTTTTTTAAGTCTACAACTGAAGCCTCTCCTCTCTCTAACTGCTTTACCAAAGACCGCAACCTGAGAGAGAAAGACAAGAAGCTGGTTAACATAGAGAGAAATGTTTGAGGCTGATTACAAAATACTATCCTATACAAAATATAGCCTCATTTATTGTCAACAAAGAGTCTGTGAAGTCTGCAAATATGCCATCTTACCAAACATAATTTTAATATTTTGGATAACATTTGCCCATAAAAAAGGTCACAAAACCTTTTCTTTCTTTACAGTATATTGACGAAGAAGTGAGATCTTAACCCTGTAAGATACTGGATGCTTGCAAATCACACTGAAATGAATGAGAATTGAAGGTGGTAAACACATAGTTTGGAAATATTATGAAGTTGTCTTTATCAGAAATTTTGCAAAATATGCACAAGAAAATCTTAAGAAATACCATACTTATACTTTTCATTATAAATGAATATGGCCTCGATTTACCTCCCATTATGCTAGAGGCATGTTTAAAATTTATCACTGAAAACTGGGGTCCTTTTGAAAATGAAATCATTTTGTGAAAAATATTCATCATTTTGTGAATAAATATTAATCTAAAATTGTCCTATTTTTCAGAGGAATCCAAAGCAAAAAGAGTGTTCAGTTTTCTCTTTCTTCTACTACCTTTACTTCTGCTACATCATTTTAGTGGCAAATTGGGAAAAGGGATAAAAAAGGGAGAGAAATGTAAAAATGGAAGAAAAGGGGGAAATACCAAAATCATATTTTGGACATACACAAAAAAAAAAAAAAATCAAATGATGTTTTCACACTCAAATTTAAAATAAATGAAAAAATATAGAATAAAGATTTTAATTTTGTTTTGTTGTAAAAAGTCTTTACCATTTTTAATCCAACTACAAAATTCAAATATACAACTAACAGTGTGAGGCTAGATGATAAATTTATAATCTGGCCTCAATAAAATGCAGTGGTTTAGACAGTATAGCAAACTCCTTCCCAATGTCCCCACTGTTCAGAGCAGTCAGTATGCCCCTATGCACAAAACCAGCACTTCTCTGTAGCTGCTATATTGTTCTGCAAAATGTCAGTTTTCAATGTCAAAACATTAAGAATGTGAATTGATGCAAAGACGTCCACATGAGTTTAAAGAGACGGTGAAACAATGGCTCTATGGCTACCCCGTTCACCTTAACACAGCTGCCTGGTGGTGACCATTAAATGTCACCCATTGTAAGCCATTTTCTTCTTAGTGCAAGAGGAATGGAAAGGGTCACTGATCTGCACAATTTACAGAAGGATCTTATTTGCTGACTCAACTGGGTGGCATTTCAGACACAAATACTAATGCATCCCCCAATCAAAAAACAGTCAAGGTTAAAGAGCTTAACAGAGCCAATGGAAATATTCAACCCTAAATAAAAAGGGAACAAGTGCAAGGGGCCTAGGGAAACAAAGGTGCCCACACAATCGTATTTTGAATATATGCACAATCTATTGTGAGTGGTAACATATTTTTTGTGTGGGTAGAGCTTGGAAAAATGTCACCACCTTCTCTTACCATGAAATTTGACTCTTGGCCAATGTAGCATGAATTTTCTGAAAAACTGACATAATTACATTGTCAAGTGCGATGGCAGATAGAGAGCCCTGCCATCACTTAGTCCTCACCAATTCTTGTACCTTCTTGCCCCCCCTATAAAGATGGAGGGAAGACATATAACTGCCTTGCAGTATCTTCTTCCCTTCCCATACTGTATGTTATGTCCTCTTACTCCCTGAACTAATTATCAAAAATATTACATTTGCCTTGGCTGGAGGAGTTAATAGTGCAGCAATCAGTTTGCCTTTCTTGATTTTTATTTCATTGATTGCAGCACACAGCAGGTCTGCACCACAAGACACTCAAATATTCATATTCAATAACAGCACAATGTGTGACTGCTGCTGCATGGTGCCAACATCCATCAAACAAGATTATGCAGAGTATGGAGTGCATCAAGCATTTGGCCAAACAGAAGTAAAGTTGTGTGAATGGAAGAGTGACACACAACTGGGGGTCCAAGTGAAAAAATTGCACTGTCTGACCATTCATTATCTGCAAGTACTTCTGCTTTATCTGTTAGCTGCAGCTCTTGACTCTTACTTTTATTAATATGAAGCCATTGATATTTTCCCTTTATAATGTTATATAAGCATTTGTATTTTGTTAAAACAATTTTGAATAAGTCTGAAACGTTAAGCTAGGTCATCACTTTGAACAGAGCCTGGCACTAGAGCTGAGCAAAATCTTCTAAAATCTTATGAAAAAGGAAGCTTATGGTCAGCTGAAATTATTCATGGATTTAAATCAAGTCACCAAATAGTTTTGACCAAAATGAACTGCTGAAACAATTTCTTTTAACATTTGCCAACAGAGGTGACATTGCCATCATGCCTTAATCCCCATTGATTAGGGCACTCTCATACAGGTAACCTTAGTTCAGTTTCTGCCTCTGCTTGAGGAGGGCTGAATCACATTTACTATTACAAAGTAGAATGATCAATCCACCACACTACCTGGTACACTTAGTTTCTTCTCATATGCTGTTCTACTTTGTTATAAAATACTTCAGTATTCATTGAATCAGAAAGTAATGAGTCTGTGATCTGGTGGTTTGGATACTCCTCTGAGATGTGGGAAATATTGGTTCAAATCCCTTAACCAAACAAAGAAATGATTAGCACTTGATATCAGTTAGGAGATTGCCCTACTCCCAGGACCTGTTCTTAAGTCAGGGAGAGAACAAACATCGTCTCTGTAGACTGGTGCTTAGGATATTCACTTTGGAAGACAGAGGCCAGAGTGTCCATCCTGCCAAAAAGGTTTTTTTTTACATATTTTATGCAAGGTAGACCAAAAGAGAATGACAGTATCCTGTGCCAGAATACCTGACATCAGAGTAGGCATAGGAGATATAGAGTCAAGGGAGGGAATTGAGCCTGAGTCTCTTACATCCTGGGTGAGTGCCCTAACTTATGCCATAACACTAAGGGGGCACTTAACAGTGGTGGCCTTAGGGTTGTTGGGGCCCTAGGAAAAGAGTCATTTGGGACCCCTCAGAACAGGGGTGGGCAAAATGCAGCCCGCAGGCCGGATGTGGCCCACTAGGCCATTCTATCCGTCCCATGGGGCCCCTAAAACATTTAGAAAATTAATATATATCTGCTTCTGGCTGCCTGTCATGCAGCGCTCGATGGCTTGCCAAAACTCAGTAAGCGGGCCACCGCCTGATATAATTGCCCACCCCTGCCTTGGAGGTATGTACTCAAGTAAATATTAACACACCACAGTTGTACCAAGGATCTTTTGAATATTCTTTGGAGTAATTAGATAAATAGTTGAATGTTAAAATGCAAATAGAGCCACTTCCTTGCCAAAACATAGCCCCCCCCAAATTTGAGCCCCCTACAGTGTTGGCCCCAGGCAGTTGTCTGGTTTGCCCACCCCTAAGGCTGCTAACTGTACTTAATCTTGGTTTCCTTGGCTTTTCTAATGAGTGACCCTTTTCACTGAGCCTAACCTGAATAAAATTTACTGTGCCAAACCTTCAACTCTCCTATGAAATAAGAAATTTCATTTGTACCTGGGAAAACTTTTACCATCTTTTCTCTTATGCCTGAAGAAGGGTGCTTGTGCCCAAAAACTTGCAATTAAAGACTTTTTTTTTCCAAAAATCTAGTTGCTCTAATAAAATATATCACATCTACCACAAGTTCTGATTCTTAAACTAAATATTCTGTTTCATAGTGAATTAAATATTTCCTTGAACCTGAACCTGCATTTTTTCATTTGCTTATTTGCAGAAGAAATCTAAAATTTTTATCCTGTCTGGATGTACTTGGTTTTGCTTTAAATATTTGGTCATCAGCAGGCCATAAAACTTAATTATCTGCAAACCCTATCTGATACCACAGTAATTCCATCAAGGTAACTGGAGCTACTTGTAGAAGGTACTGTCCATTTTAAGTCAGGGAAATCACAATCCAGCCTGCATACATTCAGTTGTTGCTGCTTTTCAGCTACATATCATGTCACAGAACCATGATATGACTTTAGAAATCAGATATTCCCATATAATGATTGCCTTCCCAGCATTTGGAAGAAGTCTAGAGAGAGCTGGCTTCTCATACTGCAGCAGCTCTTCTTCCTTATTTTAACTGCTATTTGCATTAAACAGATAAAAGGCATTAGATATTTTCTTAGTAACACTTTTCTATAGAAGTAGTAGCTTTTGCTTATTGTTTTTCTAATTTAAGATGTAATGTGTGATATGGGGAAGGTTTGACAATCACTTCTAAATTGGAGTAACCACAGAAGGGGCTATACTCCATCAAAGACAATGGAATAATCGTAACATACAAAATGAACACCCTGTTCTGTGCAACATTGAGTATTATTTGAGCACTTCCTGCAATGTTGTGAGTCCACGTTGATTGTATCTTTGTGAAGTTCAAGGGAGCCAGCATTGCATAGAACTAAGCACTCTCTTTGTACCTTGAGATTATTTCACGGTCTGTACAAACCATGAACTTCAAAGATATAGAATAGACTCACAACCTTGCAGTTGCTTAATGATTTACAGAATCTGAATCCATATTACTTTCAGTGCATGCTATAATTCAATCCCCCATGAAGAATGCTGGAGTTAGATGAGAACAGTTATTCCTCTTGACTTCAGTGGGACCACTCATTTGTCTATGGCAGATAGGATTTAGTCATCTCTAAAGGCAAAGGTACCAAAATCTCACATTAACTCCAAAGTCTCATTCACGTTCTGAGCTACTTCATATTAACAAGCTATCTGTGATACTAGGAATTCTTGGGAATAAAATCAACTGGATACCAGTTGGACAAAGGTAAAATTTGCCAGCAAAAGAGAAAGTTTAATGAACTAAATCCAGCCCACTAGTTTAAATGGAATGTGGGCAATGGAGGAAAATGAAATTGTTTTCAATGACCACGTCTACATGAGACACTACTGTGCAGTGGTTAATCTGCATTTAGTTAGTGTCAACAGGTA